CGAGCGGGGGCAGACAAGGGGCTGGTGTGGCTTCACTATGCTGCAGTCTGTGCTGTGTGAGTTTGGACGTTCTTACGTAGCTATGGCCACAGGGCAGACCTGGAGCGCTGCTTGCATTGTACAGCGCGCAGTCACTTCTAGACCTGCTGGAATAGGTCGAAGCAGCAGTTCTCTCACATTCTTCTGGGCCTTCTAGCGAAGGTTCCGGCAGCCGTTTGCAGGCTTAATCACTTCTAGGCCTTCTGGAGAAGTTTCAGGCAGCAGTTGAAGAGGCCTCTCACTGCTTCCAGAGAAGTTTTAGGCAGCATTTTAAGAGAGATCTGGCGCTTGTGTGGGAACTGTCTCTACGGACGCGTTAAGCAGTTTAGGTGACAGAGATTCCTTGCCTTACGACTTTTCGCTTAATGTCTGTACGATTGGCAGGTCGGTTCTTGCATTGTCTCACCATGCTGGCCGGGCGTTAAGTTGTCTTGCAATAAGGGCCTCTGCGCCAGCGGTTGCTTCTTTGTAGTCACGACTTCTTTTTCACTCGCAAGCTTGTACAGTTTGACGTTTCGCGCTTTTGGGAAAAGCGGGTTGCTGCGGGTTTTTGTGGTTGTGTTTGGTGGTGGCGTGTGCTTGTTTCGGTTTTCGCGCCTGCGGCTGTTTCACCGCTAGTGTTGAGACCACAAGGACGGCAGTTGAACCAAGGTGCAAATTCTTCGTGCCTCGGGATTTGCTTGCTTCACGCAGCGGTAGGTCGTAGGACGAAGGATGTAGGTCGTGGGTAGCTTGCTTCGGTATCCCACCAACTTTGCTTCCCGGCCGCGCTTATCGGCTGCGTACATGCCCTACAACCAAGTAGACGGTGGACCCGAGTAGCGGACTTCCTCAGGTTAGTGGGCAGGTGTTCCAGGAGGTCTTGCAGGCATGGGCGGCGGCCGCCAAACACACGGATATGGAAGCGGCCGGGCTCGCACAGCAGCCTAGCCTGAATGCGTTCCTTGGAATTCGCTGCAGGGCTTACAAACGCTTGGGCAGCGCCAATACCAAGAGTTTAAGCCAGAGTTGCCCCCTGCCCATTTTCTTAAGGCCATCAGGCTCGCCCTAGCAGCCTCGGTGGCCAATCAGAACATTGAGCACTTTTGGTCCGTCTATCTTGGAATGGCCCGACACCACTGCTCGGATGGCTGTTTTCCTTCGGCGTGTGCTGCCCTTGGAAAGCCTACTTGCCTTGCCCCGTATCGAAACCGCGGGTGTGAACAAGGTCCAAACCGGATGTGTACAGTGTCTCTTCCGGCACGGAACCTGTGTCTCCCGCATCGATGGAGGACCTGGCAGAGGAAGCGGACGAATCACGTTGAAGGGTCGTTCACAAAGCCCGGGCTTCTTGAGCAGGCGCAGGGCCAGCATTCGATAGCCCTCGGGCACCCGTTCAACCCGTTCAGCCCACAGTTCGTCCAGTTGATGGAAGGAACGTTGAGCACCAGCCATTGCCCGTAGTATTCATCGGTCATTCGACTCCGCGTGGTGGCAGAAACGAGCACTCTGTGCGGGTCTCTACGCTGTCTCCCGTCCTTGCTACTCAGACGCAGGTATTCGAGGAAGCTGTTCTCGTCGTTTCGCCACGTGCAATTCATGTAGGCCTGGAGTTTACTCCGAGAGGATGCGGCGTGCCAAACGGTAGTCAGTCGCCTCCTCGTTCAGCCAGCTTTAGCAAACTGCTCTGAAAACTTGACGCTGTAACTTGCGGCATATTGGAGCAGGAGCTCGCTCCCGTCCCCAATCTGAACGTCCATGTGGCGCCCAAAGCGCCAAAGACGTCGGGCATCCACACCCTGACATTTGCCTGCTTGGCGTTTGTGACTAACAAGCATCTTGAAGATAGGGGTGAAGTGGCCTTGACTGTTGATCTTGGTCACACAAAGAACACATTGCACCCGATGTGTACGCTCACTAATAGCAAATATGGGTGATGTCCGGTAAGTTTTAATCGTCCCGTATTCAACAATGAGAATGCTGGCGCTCAAAGATACCAAACGTGCCTTTAATTTGCAGAACGATAGATTCTTGAAGATTAAGAAGATAAGAATTGTAATTAGGGGATATGCTTCGCTTAATGCTCTGTTGCCCTGCTTTCTTGTCAAGCATGATGAAAACTGCAAGCGCTCTTCTTTCTCGTTGATCGATGTTCTGGTAAGTAAAGTGCTGTACTTCCTGCACTGTGCTTTGGCAAACTTCCTGTAGATTAAAAGGGAATGTCCCCCAATCCATAGGCATCTCTGAAGGCACGTAGAACTCTTATCCTAACAAGAGTATTCGCAGTGTCAACAATTACCTTTAAACTATTCTTATGTGGATCAAGTACACCTAGATACATCGACAATATCGGCATGGACATGAGCCAGACTGTCAATACCTTGCTTTTCCAACGTGCCGACATGGCAAGGTCCAAACCCATCGCTCTCAATGGTGGCAACAGAAGGGTTTGTGGCAAACAGGGCAGCAACTTCTTGAAAACGATGCTTGGCAGATGTGATGGCGATCCCATATAGTTCTTTGGCGATGCAAATTAGCCTGTGTTGGGCAAGCTGCATCAAAAGGCAGAGCTTCAGCTCTCAAGGCTGCGCTCAATGATGCACAAGTCACAAAGGTTCTTGCGGCCAAATTTAATCATCCAACCCCTGAGTGCACTTCAAACCAGTTAGTAAGAGGGAACTTGCAGAAGACGTAGCGTATCACAAATCACGAATCAAGGGCTTCCTGACAAGTGTCACTGTTTATCCCAAGGAATACGGGTCCTCGGAATGTAAAGGCTCACAAAAAGACAGCGTGCATCGCCTCCGCGTGTAAAGATTGTGTGGATAGGCCAACGAAACTGGGCAAAAGGCCGAAGGAGCTTTTGCAAGTTAACCGTCACAGCCTACTCGCAGCCCGCAACCCAGGCCTTCTACACGTCACCAAGGTTCACCTACGCCCTTCAGCTTTCCGAAGGGGGGCACTACACAAATTAGGGACACAGAACCTTTACCTTCTGGCCGTTTTTCCGCCATGGGAGCGTTTTTGTGTGGATGCAATGTTGTTTGTTCTAGAGGTCTCCTTTGCTGTCGCCGCGGATGTCTCTATTGATTTTGCTGTTGCTGCCGACGCAGACGCGCTCACTCACTCGCTCACTTGCTCACTCACTGACCGGCCCGTGTTCTTTTGTTGAGCACTTGGTGCGTTTTTTTGCAGTTGCTTGCGGGCTCAGGGCTCGGTGCGCCTTTTTCTACTGCGGCCGCGGGCCGCACAACAAAGCAAACAGGTTCTCTCCTATAAACCTTATAAACCTATCTAAACCCTTTCTCAACACTCTATCAACCCTATAATCCCTATAAACCCCTGAACCCCTCTGACTCTAAACCCCTCCCCTGTATAAGCCCTGTAAACCTGTGAACCATGTAAGCCTGTAAACCTTATAAACCGTATACGTTATACGGCCACCCAAACCCTTTAATTTCCCTGTCCCTCTCGCTCTTCCTCCCTCTCGCCCTCTCCCTTTCCCTCTCGCCCTCTCCCTCGCCCTCTCCCTCCTCGCCCTCTCCTCTCCCTCCTCGCCCTCTCCCTCCTCGCCCTCTCCCTCTCCTCTCTCCCTCTCCTCTCGCCCTCTCCCTCCCTCTCCCTCTCCTCCCCCTCCCTTTCCCTCTCGCTCTCCCTCTTTTTCACTCTCCTTTTCGCTCTCTTCGTAACGCGATATTCTAAAGTTTCCGGTGTCGTGGCGAGGTCTACCTTGGGGTTCTTCTCCAAATCCTTAAACCCCCAACCCTTAACCCAAGGCCATGTAGTCTAAGTGTTTCTAGCTGAAGTTCTTAGCTTATATCACGTATATCTGGAATGAAGGCACTTGGATGCTCATAATTTCGATTTGCAGTCAGGTGGCATGAACCTGAAACTCTCCCTTCTCCCTTTGTCCCCACCCACGACTTCCCAACCCCCTCCTTCAGGTTTTCAACCAGCCACCCAACCCACTTGCTGTTGATCTACGTGGACACTTTTGATCGCATTTCCGTTTTGTTGTGGGTTTCGCCAATGTCCTCAAGGTAAGTTTATCCGTGCGGTTTGGAGCTGGGAGCTCGACATTCGCAACTTCCTCTGTTTGTCTGGAATCGCAAAGTTGATTGCTATGGACTTCCTGAACCTACCGTTGGGCTGTCCTTTTCTGTTGCGGGCACTCCATCTGTTATTGGTTCCGCGTTGTTGTCACCGGCATTCCTTTTCTTCTCTTTCCCAGTATCCTTATGTGCGTATATGTCTGTCGGGCAAACGATTCGGTCCAACACATGAGCGCGCGATGACAAAACCGTGTCTGATTGGGAACCCAAGAGAGACTAGACAACACATGTTGGTATTTTCGAAACTGAGCAGTTGCAAGGGAGCTGTTCCCACATGTGCTTATGACGTCGTCGAACAACCCTGTCTCTGAGGAAAGTGAGTGGGGGCGCGGGCGCATCACCAATGAGGTTGTGCTGTCGTTGTGTAAATGGAGCGATCCGCAAAAAGATGCCTGTCTGCAGAATTCGAAACATGTGCAGACCATTCGACATTACACCATTGAACATGGCCAGGAGCGCAAGATGCAGAGTTCAGGTTGGCGAGCTCTGCGTTTATGAGTTGTAGCATCATGACGCAGATGCGTGAGCAGGCTTGTCTGCTGCACAACATACTCATTACAATCACATCAGCTTTTTTCACGGCATGCCGTTCCTATAGAATTGGATCATGATACAGTTTTGACTCATTTGACTCATTGGGTTCGTTAGACTTATTTGACAAATTTGACAGGTAGGTTCGGACAGCTTTTCGGATGCGTCATGGGTCAAGTGCCAATCTGGTCGAAGCCATTTCCCATCAAACAGATGCTGAGTTGAAGCAGTCATATGCATTTTTGGCCAACGTTTCCCAAACAATAGTCCTTAGGTGTGACCTGGTGATGTGGACATGCTCTGCCAGTGTAGTGCTTGTGAAGGGTTCGGCTGAATGTGATGGGACATTCAGACACGAGGTGCTCGTACAAGCGGGTTCAAATTGTTGGAAGGGGAAGCTTTGGATGCGGTTGGTTGGTGCGAGATAGACGCGGAGATCAATGCATTCTGAGACAGATCGACGTGTCCAAGATGCCAGAAAAAGTTAAGCAAGAGGCTGCAAATGAAGTAAAGATCCTCAGCAGACTCCGGCATCCTTTTATCATCAACTACCGCGAATGTTTTGTGGAAGATGGTTTGCTTTGCGTTGTTACCGACTTTGCTGAAAGTGGTGACTTGCATGAGCGCATTGGGAAGCAGCGGTCAGACAAGCAGCTGTTCGCGGAGGCAATGGTTTTGCGATGGTTTACCCAGATTGCTTTAGCACTGAAGCACATTCATGATCGTCGCATTCTTCACCGTGATCTCAAGACGCAGAACATCTTCTTGACGGGTCCAGGCGATGGTGTCGTGAAAGTGGGTGACTTTGGCATTGCTCGTGTCTTGCAGCACACTCAAGACTGTGCAAGGACAGCTATTGGAACTCCGTATTACCTTTCACCAGAGGTATGCCAAGAGAAGCCGTACAGTTACAAGTCAGACATTTGGTCGTTGGGCTGCATCCTGTATGAACTCGCAAGTCTTCGTCACGCTTTTGATGCAGATTCGATGCGCGGACTTGTTTTCAAGATTCTCCGGGGCATACCGCCTGATGTTCCAACAGCATTCTCCGCTGAGCTTCGGCAGATTGTATCGGACATGTTGCAAAAGGATCCACAGTCCCGCCCATCAGTGGATGAGCTTTTGAAGATACCGCTGGTGCGTTGCATGATTCGACACCTGCTTGCCGACTTGGAATCCCAGCAAGGACGGAACATGACTGAAGCGACACTCAGATGTTTGGCATGCTGGGTTTCTTGATATTTCTTGTGGCTTTCGTTTCTCTCATCAGGGCGGTCGGCTGAAGTTCCACCGAGTTCGAAGGCAGGTGCTCACTGAACAGAAGTAGTGCAGTGACTCGGCTAGATGGCCATGAGCTTCATGTCTGCAGGTGTCGTCTCAGTCCAGGCGAAGCAGGCCTCCCGGGTCAGCATCCAAGCCAGAGCAATCAGCTCACGATTGTTGGCAACGCCTCAGCTAACCAAGGGAAGACCAAGCGTGTGTCGACAAACCAAAGCTAAGCAACCTGGTAGCCAAGTGACCAGGTATGATTCCTGTTGCTGTGCTGTGTGCTGGTTTCTTCTGATTTCATCTGCGTTCCCCGATCATCGGAAGTGCCACGGATCTTAGGAGTGGCATCTGAGTCTCCGAGTCGCTTGCACCGGTCCGACTGGAACGGAGTTCATGCGGGAAGTTCGAAGGGCTTGGCACTAAGTTGAATCCAGAGGCTGCTGTATCACGCTTTGCACGGTTTGGCCCACGAGGTAGGATGCTGAGCTGCCCGAGCCAGAAGAATGCCGATAAGATTGGCGAGTTTCCTGTGGCTCGACATGATGTACAGTCAGTCACGTCTTGTTTGATCATGATGGAGTTGATTGGTCCGGCACTGTAAGAAGTGTTGTGGTGTGGCAGTATGTCCACAGCGCGCTTGGCTTGTTTATTTTGGTGGCCACGTGTGTGGTCCAAGGGAATAGTTTAGTACGTTTAGCAATGTCCTTTCCTTGATCACCGGCACAAAGGGTGGAGCAAGGACATGCTGGACAGGTCGTGCAATGCAAAGGGCGGCGATGTCTGAAACGTATGTGCAACCTGGTGCTTGACATAAGGCGTGTCGTGTAGGCATCTGATATGGGCGTCACACTGCAGCTCACTTCTATGTGACCTAATTTGGTCCAGTTTGGCACAGTTATCTTATGACATGTGGGCGTCTCAGTCTTTTGTTGCATTGGAACAAGTTCTTATATGCTTGCTGAATTCCTGCGGGGCCTTAGATGACAGCGTTACTCGATTGCCAACCACTGTAAGAGACGGCATCCCTCCGAGGGAAGCAAGGCTTACACATGCGGAACATCACTCTCTCTGACATAGCACAGGGAGCGCTTCTATTTCAGCCTTCTAGGTTCTCACACGAAGCCTGCTATTGCCTCCAAAGATCCGCGCGAGAGGCCGTTTCCCTCAGGCTCTCGCCCGAAGCTGCACTTCCATCAAACATCTAGTTCCGGAGAGCCTGCGTAGAGCCGTGCATTGATCGTCCAAGTTGGAGTTGCAATTGTTTGTGCGAGGGTGGGTGTCTAGATTGGGTTTGAAACTGCGTTGTCGTCCGATATCCTGTGGAAGACGCACCGATGTTTTCGAGACACGCGAAATCCGATGTCCAATATCCTGGCTTTGTGAACGTGTTTTCGTTGCGAAAGCACTTCTTGCATTGGAGCTTTCTACATGGCAGGTTCGTTAATGCATCGCCTGCAACTGTTATTGCTCATCGTGCCGAAAACGCTAGTAAATTCCAGGTTTTGGGCATGAACACTTGTGACAGCGGGTCTTGTTCCACATCCTTGTGCAGAACGTTGCGCAGGGAGGTAAAAATGCTGTGAATTCCGGTGCTTGGTCACGTTCGACAAAGGAGTGAATGCTCATGACAGCGTGCCCCCGCCCTCGCCCCCCACAAGAGCCCGAGGTTCGTAATCAGTGACATCAGAAACCTGGGGCGGGACATGCGGGACCATGCGGACAGGATGCAGAACTGGATGGAAGTCAGTTTGAGTACACCAAGCACACCTCACGTGATCTCCAGAAGCCATCTCTGGCATCCGTCCGTTTTGCTTGGGCATGTCGAGGGGGATCGAAAATTCATAAAACAAAGCCTTCCAAGGACAGATTGGTGCACGATGAGAAGCGCAGATGGTACAGTCAAGGTGCGTGGCCATGCGCCTGTCGTGCTTCAGTCTTCCTGAATGGTTGGAGATTGGTTGAATAGAGGAGTCTCTTTCGTCTGCGTCTGTGCTTTTCGAGCGTGGTCGATGCCGATTTTTGGGTAAGCAGAGTTTGAGAGCCCCAGCTGTCGTGGCTTTCGTGACTCTCCTGCATCACTTGCAATCAGTTTTTCTGCATCCTGCAGGATGGGAAAAGGCACAGCCTTCAGCAGTGACGAAGATGGCGGTATCACGATCTCTGCAGTCTCTTCGAGGCATTAGATTCAGGTGGAGAGTCGGTTTACACATCAGTATTTGTCGGAGTGATACTGCGACAGACTATGCGCCTCTCAGGCCATCAAGTTTCATCACGCCCACCAACAAGGCCTGTGGCTACTAGAAAGTGAAAATGCTGCACAACGCTGACCTCTCGTCGTCCAAAACACCCGGCACTTTCAAGCGCACATATGAAAGCGAACCCAAATGCGACGCCCGTTGACATAAAATAGTTTTGACACGCGCGAAGCGCGGCTGCCCAAAATGACGACAATCGTTTGGTGGTGGGGACAAACCAGTTGTGTGGCTTGCACTAGGACAAGGCAGCTTGACAGATCTCCTTTTACATGGATCAAGCCAATTTCGTCAGCATTTCTGTGAACCGGAGAATTTCCAGATACTTCCTGTCGGGCGCATGGGGCAATGTGGCTGGCCGGCAACATGAGTCAGAAACAGGCATTTTTCTTGTGCAAACGAGAAGCTGGGAATTTGGAGCGGAAAACATGTTGAATGTTGTCGAACCCATCTGCATGAATCCAGGGGCGTGAATCCTGGGGGTGTGTTAGGATAACACTATTGCGTCAAATATTTTGAAGATCGTACACCGTTGGCCATCATGTTGATGGAGACCTTGTCAGGATCTTGCAGTGAGTCCTTGCGAGGATGAAGGCCTTTTGTTGCTTCTTTTGCTATCATGTGGCTTTGTGCTTCGCTTATCTTTGAGTGCATGTGAGCCTGGATTCTGCAGGCCAGTGGTAGCATTCCGATCGTCAGGCTGCAAGTTGTCAGACCTTGTGCACCCAGACGGTGGAACTCTCAATTTGCAAGGCCCTTACCACCAGGGTGCGGGAATTTTTGCCCCAAATCTCGAGCAGTCCATGTTGAATGGATAAGAAGCCTTGCGGGACACATTGGATTTCAGGCATGTTGGCAAGATGGACTCCTTGGCATATCGCATCGAGGCGACAGCTTCACACTCTGACATGACATTGACATTCTTCACGTCATTGCAAAGCGCAAGGCTTTGCGCCATTTCCTTGAGAGGGAGTTGGGCCTGGTGGAGTTTGCGGCGGCATGCAGTCACCTTACCCAAGGTTTGGCCCCTTAGGATTAGGGCTTCCTGTATTGTGAGTCCATGCCGGCACCCAGATGTAATCTATAAAGTCTGCGAGGTGCCACGTTAGCTGATGCTGGTGTGATCGTGAGCAAGGTTGCAGGGCCGACCAACTCAATCCATGTGACAGTTTCCACACGCCCCTGCAAGGACCGTTGCAGTCGCAGCGATCCGGCCTTTTCATTCTCGAAGCAGGCGCACCACGATGCATCATTGCAGTGTTTGAAGCCTTGTGCTCAGCACCCAGGGCCCAGGGAAACCAAGGAAGCGAACCCCAACAAATCTGCAAGATTGCAGCAAGTGGTGATTCTGGAAACAAGCTTCACGACCCTGAGATGAAGTTGGTTGCAGTTGAGAGGTGTCTTCTAGGGTTGGAGGTTTCAAGGTGGCGGTGGCATCAGAGAAAAGTTCAGGTTTGACGGCTGCTGTACCTCCATGGTTCCCTTTCTGTCGCTTAGCTTTCGTTGGCCTGGACTCGCGTTCACCCATGTGAAAACCCCAACTGGCAGATGAATTTGACTTCCGTGCCTTCCAGCAACTGCAGCAGCGAACTGTGTTTGTTTCCCAATGTCTGAGCATGAAGTTTCCACCTCTTACTGTAGCAAACATGCCAAGCTTCGGTCAGGTGCCATGTGCGGCTTAAGCCGGAGGGATCCGGGAGGGATCGGGAGGGATTCGGAGGGCGTATGACATGCCTGAAGCTTCTCACACTGGCATTTCTCGAGTCGACTCGAACCTTGCAGCAAGTTGCTTCTGAGTTTCTCTTTGCTCGTCCTTGTCGCTTCGAGAGGTGAGTTTTTCGCGACTTGGATTTAGCTGTTGGGACACCAACGATTCAGTATGCTGTGTCTTTGTGCCTACTGCTGTTCTAGGTTCTTTCAATTCTTTCCTGTTTGTTGTCCCAAAGCATTCACGGCAATCCCAACCTTTGAGCATGTGCTCCCCTGTGCGGCTCTCCTCCTCCTCTCCTCCCATCCTCTCCTACTCCTCCTCTCCTGCTCCTTGACGGGCTTACTGACAAATCCATGCAGATCTGGATTCTTGCGCCGTGTTTCTTCCGCTGCGCGCTGCCAGCAATCATCATGACCTCGAGGACAGCCTGCAGCAATCTACGAATTGCTGTTTTTCTCGCTTCATCTTGTTTAGCGCCTTGCGCTAAATTTCTACGGAAGCTTGCGCAGTCAAGCCACAGGTGCACACTGACACTTCCGTAATCATTGTCTCCGGAGCCGAGGGGGAAGTTGCGGGTGTAGGCCACGGCAATAGCCCCGCAGGTCGTCTTTCCCTTCCCTTCCTTCCCTGCAATCATTCGGCAGCTCAGAAGAGCCACTCAAGAAGGCCAACATAAATGTCCAGGCACAGTAAAAAGCAGTGGCTGCACCGGCTTCAAATGGATGAGCATGACATATTTGATGAAGCCTCTGCATATTCCATAAGCCACTACATGTTCAGGAGGAGGGGCAACTGCACAACATGGATATGTGTCAATATGGTTGGTTTTGAATTGGTTTTGATTGTACAATGTACAACATGTTGCCAACGTTGTCTGTGCTTTTGGGAGGCTATGAAGTACATGTCGGCCTCCGAGTGCTCTTCAAAACAGCGAGTGCGTTGAGTGCGTTGAATGCATGAACATCAGACTTGGTAGATGCGTTTTTCGCTGGTAGTCCTTGTCTGTGCTGACCCAAACTGAGGCTTAAGCGGAGTCACGCATTGGAATGGTTAGTGTGATAGTGTGTCCGAGTCCTTGTTTTGCAGCCCGAGACTAAGGCCCCTGGTCAAGCAGCTCCTTGCGTTCGAAGATGAATTCTACGGCTTGCACCATCCGGCACGATTTCTCCTTTTGAAAAGGAACTGTTCGAAGGTTGACCTCTCACGCACTTGTAGTGCCTGCTGCGATCCTAGCGCGATCCAGAATCTGGACGCGATTCAGGAAACCAGGATTCAGGAAACCAGCCCCGCGATTCAGGAAACCAGGATCTAGGAAACTACGCGATTCAGGAAACTGAAAACGTGCGATTCAGGAAACTGCGATTCAGGAAACCACGCGATTCAGGAAACCAGGAAACTGCGCGATTCAGGAAACTGAAAACGCGCGATTCAGGGAGGGGGGGGGGTTAGGTGGGGTGGGGGGGTAGGGAGGGTAGGGGGGGTAGGGGGGGTAGGGGCGTGGGGGGGGATGGGGGGGATGACAACGTTCGTGTCTGAACTATCTGGTTTCCGAATCCGTGCTTGAGTTTCCTGAATCAGCTGGTTTCCCGAATCCTGGTTTCCCGAATCCGCGCTTTCAATTTCCGAATCCGCACTTTGAAGTTTCCCGAACCCCCTGTTTCTGAATCCGCGTTTTCCAGTTTCCTGAAAAAGCGGGCTTCCCGAATCCTGGTTCCCGAATCAGCGCTCTTAGTTCACCGAATCAGGTTTTTCAGTTTCCGAATCAGGTTTTTCCAGTTTCCAAATCCGCGCGTTTTTAGTTTCCGAATCCGCTGCTGACCTGCCTGCTGCACTGCTAGTGCATCTGACTCAGCGCATTCTCGTAGGACTGGCAGCATACGTCTCAACTGATGCCGTTCCAACATGCTCGTCCATCACTGGCCTGTACGTCTAGCTAACATTGAACAGGCCGGCCCCCCAAACCCCGAAACATGAGTGGATCACCCGGTACCAGACCCTGAACCCTAAGCTCATTGGGTTGACATAAGTCTTGATGATGTTTTGGGAAAGGGTTCAGGGATGTAGGCTCTCGGTTTTGGGTTGAGGATTTAGGGTTTAAGCTTCAGGGCTTGTAGGCTTCCGGGTTTGTTGAGGGTTCAAGGCTTGGGGCTTCAAGCAGAGGGGCCTCTGTTGGGCAAATTGAAACGTTTGGTTGCGGATCCCATTCCAAGCAAAAGAGTCCACTTAGGACTTGTTGAGCTCGGATGTTCCCGACTTCAGGACAAGTCGAGGACAGTCTCACACACTCCTCCCAGGTTTATTTTCTTGGAATGTGTTCTATTCTGTGCTAAATGAAGGTTCGTCAGCATCCTGGGTTACTTTATCTCACGAGACTGGTCCCTACCTCGGACCTTCTTCTGGGAAACGCAACAAAAAGGGCTGCTTGGCCCAGTATCAAAGACCCCTTGCCAACAGAAAAGCAAACAACACAGGGGAAGCGTGCCTCTGTTGGTTGAACTCTCCGCTAACTTCCAACAGAAATACGCAAGTGTGCTTGTAAAATCCATGCGCTTGCATGCAGATTACCCTTACATGTTGCCAGGAAACAATACGTACTCAGTGGGATGTCCTGTAAAACAACATGTTTCAAAGCACTGGGATGGAGAAACTAACAAAGGGTTTTGATATGACTATTCGGTTCAAGAGAATGTTGTGCCTTGGGATTGTGCTCGTTGTTTCATCTTTGTTGTTTTCTCAAAATCCGACCCAAACCAAGCTTATGAGCAATTCCTATCAGAAATCGTGTAGGCTCCCCCAACCAATGCTTCGCTAGGGCTGTGCGCAGTTCGTCCGAACCAGCACCCCGCAGGTCCGGGGCGGTTCTGATTGGCGGGTGCGCTTCGCAGATCCGATCGAAGACTTGATTCGGTTTGGGGCGAGCAACACGGGCTTGCACTTCAGTCCGGCACGTAAACTGCCGTGGTGCACAAAAAAAGGGGAAATCCGTGTGCTGCCCTTCAAAAGATGCAACAACATGCATAAAGTCTCCCGAAATCAATCGAGACTGCGACTGTCTACAACATGTGCTGATACCTTTGTCAACCAAGCCAGGCAAATCTGCCAGGCATGCTGAGTCGAGCAGCACTGACATCATCATTTCAGAAGCGCTGATGATTTCAGTTGCACGAATTCGTGTAAGGCGATCATGTACATCGTGAGTTTTCGAAGCTCGGTAGACCTCGCCTGAAAATTTGGTTCGCAGGGCCGCAGTGCCCCTGAGGTCTGGGGTCGGTGCTTGCAGAGTTGGCAGCAGGCTGCAGAATGCAAGTAGTTACAATCAACAAGCTGCAGAACGCCGCTGCTGGAGTGGGCTTGGATGTGACCAAAATGCCTGGGGAAGACGAAGCAAGCCCAAGGCTAGCTTCGGAGTGAAGGATGCATGCGGAACCCAGAAGAAAAAGAACAACTTCCATCCCATTGACATCGCCTTCGTGTATGGTTCATGAACTCAGCGTGCCTGCATGAAACTTGCTCAAGGGATCAATCATACGGCATCAATAGTGACAAGTCAGCTTCTACCATGGTTGTCAGTAGCCGCCACCGATGATGTAGCCATATGGTGGTGGTTTTGACCGACACGCAAGACTGGGCAGCTGCAGCTTGGTGACTGCCCGTTTGATCTGGTTCTCTAGTCGTTTGTTTTCTTGTTGATTGGTGGCCTCTTCATGAGCTGTCCGACGTTGCCACCATGCCTGCGACTTAAAAGACACTGCGCAATTTCAGTTGCTTCGTTTGGACGGTCTTGAAGCTTCGTTTGGATGGTCTTGTGCAAGGTCGTCGGGCAATCCCATGGGCTTGTCCGAGATATCACACTTTGGAAGCTTTCAGCGGGTTGGTGGCAAGGTGGTCACATGTGCATGTGGTCACATGTGGCCACACATGCGCTGGCCGAAGCATATGTCCCTCATGCAGTCAGTGATGACAAAGTCGACAAAGACCATGCAGGGGTCGTTTTCGTGCATTATCGCTGTTTGGAAGCTGAACAGGCGGGTGGCTTCATCAACAAGAAGTTCTTCCACCCTTCCTCGATTCGGAACCAAGAGCGGCTTTGGAAGGCGATGCATAGATTTAGCATAGATTTCGTTTAGATGTTTAGGTGCTCATTAACGACGTGGCGATGTTCGATCTCTCTACGCTTGACCCGTGCATCCCCGAAGACTAGGCGCAAACTGAAGATGATCGCGAGACGCGAAAGCAGATCGAGATGCAAAAGCGGCGTGACGAAGAGCGGCAGGCTAGGAGAGATCTTTGGTTTCTTTGTCCCTCAACAAAACGTTTAGTTCGTCCTAGTCTTGGTGGCGAGGTGGAGGAGCTTCGAAAACAGATGTACTTGTCAGGTCGGTGATTCATGTTGAAGCTCTGCATCCGGAAGTAGTTGGGCCGTGAATCTCAAGCACCAGGTCAAGGAAAATCCAGTGACTTCCTCACCAGCGCCGCAGAGGCAGGGGATGCAAGAGGATGCAAAAGGATGCAAAAGGATGCTAGAGGACGTGCAAGGCAGCGTATGCATGGGACATCGTGTATGCGCCGCAGCGAGTTCTGTGTCAAGGCCAATGCTGCAAACAGCCACCTGGGCTCCAACGAAAAGGCGGAGTTGAAGTCAGCGCCTTAGATTCCAGAGCCACAAGCATAAGCGCCAGCTAAGCTCAGAGTTTTCGGTTTTTGTGGCTGTAGATACCGCGGCCAGGCTAGGCACCCGTCAGAGCAAACTCCGAGACATGCTACACTGAAAAACACAATGGGCGGGCAGCGGGGCTCAAGAAACAACACAGTGCTGGACGGCTAGGAGTGGGCACCAGGAAATAACACAGCGAGGACAGTTGGAGGGGTGAGTCGTACTGGTAGCAATCCTCAGGCTAATTGATGCGTGCAAATAAAGTGCCTTGCTTCTGCCACATGGGATGCACGCAGCACTGAAGTCCCACAACAATGCTACATGAGTTCCCATGCACAGGCAGGCCATTGCTGCACAGCAAAAGCGGCGGGCATTGCTTCGGCTTGCTACCTAAGCTTTTGCTTCGATTGTCATGTGGGACACATGCCACTGCCGAGCTAATCTGAGGCAGGAAGCAGACAAGGCCTCAGTCTCTTTGGTGCTTGCACGAACCTGTCACTGGACCTGCTCAGACCTTCCAACAAATGAAAACAAAGTGCTTCGGTATCAATGGTTGCATGAGACATGATAAGAAATGGAAACAGCATCATTTTTGGAAGTGCCTTGCCAGCATGATTGAGTTGTTTGCGACGGTGTGACAACTTTCACGGTTGCTTTGCCGGCCTCGTGGGCTGTGGAGGTACCTGTCAGTGGCTGAGCAAATAGGAATGAGTAGCTACGAATACATATAGGTATTGATACAAGGCTAAACCTATATGTAAGTTTTTAATGTCAAGAGTAAAGGTATTTAGATTGCCGTGATGAGGGCACGTACGCCGGCGAGCGTTGCATTCGCGGAGGCTCTCGCCTAGGCTCAGCGCTCGTTTGGCTCAGATTCGTGCTCTTGCCTAGGCATTGGCATATGCGCGGAGTGCTTCGAAACGTCGTTTTTATTGGCAGTCGCAGTCGCGGCACTTTCGGTTCCTCCAAGCATCGAGTCTCGTTGTGTGGGCACTGCAAGCAAGCTTTTGGGGATTCAGGATTGGGAGGGGGTCTGGCGGCAAGTATCAAAGCGACAACCCAGTTTACAAGCATACAACGTAGACATAGTATACACAGCATACACAGTATACACCAGTACGCACAGTATGCATTATGCACAGTATGCACAGTATACGCAGTATACACAGTATACTCAGTATACACAGTATGCACAGTATACACAGTATACACAGTATGCACAGTATACACAGTATACACGGTATACAGGTATACAAGTATACTTGCATACAAGACACATATAGCAAATACAGCGAGTACTGAAATAGTTACAAACATCGAACATGTGATCAAAAGTCCGAGTACTAGAATAAGATTGTGTGCGCTTGCAAATGGATTTGCATTCCTTTCCCAATGTGTTTTTAATCGTGCTATGTTCACTCAGATTTATGTACATGTTTCGGTTTTATACACATACCCATTTTTCATGTTGGCCATTTTGTATGTTTATACAGACTGATATTTATTACCAAATTTCGTTTACATTCTTATATTCATATTCATCATAATATCGTTAAGGGTTAAGGAAAAAGCAGTGATAAGATACATACATGAGCAAGCACCCATCCCTAAACTCGTTTGAGAACGCTTGCTGGGCCCCTTTGCCTGCCGCTATGGTTTGTAGCTCGCTTCTGTGCATGTCGACTCTTGCAGGCGCGAGCAGCAGGAGACAGCGACGAGGACAGGGATCCATTCAGCAGAGGGAGGGTTCGGGCAGAGCTTTTTGACCGAATGTTTCTCAGCAGGAGACTGGTGCAGTGCCAGGACGCGACGTTGGTGGCAAGCTAAGCTAGCAAATGAGGTTGCTGTGCACAGCAATGCAAATCAGAATAGGGATTGTGACTGTGATAGTTTCCGTGCGGAGTCAGTGCTTTGGCAAGCAAGGCACAAGGCTAAACAAGTCATTGCTATGTCTATCTTTTAGCCCGAGGAGCAGATCGAAAGCTGGCGAAGTCGAGGCTCTGGGAGACACCTTCATTGATGCCCAAAATGTCTGACTTCGCAAGGTATCCTGAAGACGTTGTGGAGAATGGGCACACCGAAGTTTGGGGCTCGTGGTGGCTCGGTACATCATCTCAGGGGCAGGAGAGAACGAGAGGCAAAAGAAGCGCCAAAGCAAGGGCCCAGTCATTCACAGGTTTTTGTTGCACTAGAACACGCCAGTCATCTCGTTGCAGATGGCGCAGTGTAGTTGCCAGAGCCGACAGCAGTATACCACAAGAACATTTATGCTACCCTCCGGCCCCCCAAAGTCAACCGACAGCCATGTGAACAAGTGTTGATTCCGTCGAGGTTCCACCGAGAATCCCGACACTCTGCATGCGAGGGTGGATGCTTTAAACCATGATGCGGGCCCCGGGTACGCTGTGGGTACGCATCATCTCACGTCTTGGGCAACACAGTGACACATGGCCCACCAGCCGGAGCCGCTGATGCCATCTGATGCCCATGATGCTCTCAGCCTTTTGATGCCCCTGTTCATTCATTCCCCAATCCCCTGAACTACCACCTGTCGGTGCGACCTTGAATGAGCTGATTTGTGCCCGTGGAGGACTTGCTCTTGGGGGAGAGGTCCGCGGAAACGACGCTGCCTATTCCAATCTGTCTTCAGCATGGCTATACCTTGGCAATCAGAAACTGGACGTGCCTCCATGGGTTCCGCTCGATTCTCCAAGAACCTTCGTCCATCGCCCGTCACAGGAAGCTCATCATTGACCCCTAGTCGATGTTGCGTCCTGCGCATCATGAGCATCAGCGACTCATGAGTTTCTTCGATGATGCTCACTTTGGGCGGGTTTCCCAAACGGAGAGGTTTCGGAACCGGTGTAGAAAGCGATCGCACCACGGCAAGCTATTTTCGGTTTACACTTGTCAAAATGCAAAATCATGACGCCATCGCGTACTCGACAAGTCCGCAGAGGGTCGTCGGGGGTCACGAGGAGTTGGTGAGAGAGCTCCACAGGGTTCATTTTTTGAGGCTGAGCGCATCTTGCTTATCTGCTGTAGCGCCTACTCTCCTTCATTTGAGAGATACGGTGGATGGACGAAATCTTGCACCGCCTGTGCATTCGTACTTCAAACGACTGAGGCATCAAGCTCCGCGCCCCCTGCTTAACATTGGCGGTTAGGACTACTTGAGCGGTGCAAGATTTCGACCATTGGAACAAATCCGGCCGCTAGCTTTTCACAGCCAATGTTAAAAAGGGGGCACGGGGAACGCAAAAAGACATGTCTGAAAAGCGGTGCAAGATTTTGTCCATCCACAGTCCCTAGATGCAACAACACTTCTGCTCTTCTATGTTGTGAGGTTTTTCTGGCTTCAATGACAGTAACTTTGCCGGGATGCCGTTTGCATTCCCACGGTGCTTCAAATACGTGCAAAATAACAGTCAACACTCAGTCAACACTCAGTCAACACT